TTAGCAATTAATTCATTATATCAATATGTAGCTAGAAATTGGTCCAAACAATTTTCTTCTTATTTTTTAGTCTCTTAAAGGTTATTCTTCACCTCTACCAACACTCCTTTGTTTTATCCAAATTTTGATTTTTACTAGTTCAAGATATAGTAAAGAATACCATTTAACTATGAACTAAAGATAAATAGCTTATTGAACAAGTTTGACAATAATGTTATTTTATTACATATGCTAACTGCTGACCATTGTATTTATAATTCACACAATTACTATATCTAGCGTAAAATTTAATAGCTTCTTTGGAAACATGCTTTATCTCAACTCCAAAATCAACTTACTTCACAAAGACAGAGATGATGAGTTATAAAATTCAACATATACTTTACTTATCATGAAGGAAAGCAATACATATTCATAATTGCCCTTTGGAGGTTTCTTAACATAGTTACTGCTATCGGTAAGAGGAAATTCTTTTTCCACAAAATAAATTCTTTTTCTTCAAAATAAAATTACAAAATTGCATGCAATACCTATAATTTTAAATCATGAATTTATATTGTTAAATTCAGTTGGCTGTATAGATAGTTATTTTTATTCCACAATATTAACTTGCTTGATAAATATGGAAGACAGAACACTGCCCAGGCTAACTACAAAGTTTCCAGAGCTGCCTGTGAGATGATTTTATTTAGCATGACAAAATTATGAAAATGGAGATGGGTTTTTATGATACAACAGACATTTAAGATTTTTAATTCAAGATGTAACTTTTCTCATGTGCCCTCACATCTTACAGGCTTCTTGTTCTGGAGGTATATATTAAGGACAAAGTAGAAAATGTACATACAGAAAACCTATAATTTTCATATATGTAAGTTTTGGGGGTTACATTCGCAACAGGATACTCCTATAACATGTCATCTTATAAGCACATATGAATGCTACTACTCTATAAATATGTATAAATTAAATGGCCTACAATACCTACTGGTTGTCTATTGGAGACAAGGAAGAAAGTAGAAGATCTAGCTCTTATTTTCAATGAAGTGATGGTATCTCTAATCCTCCTCCTTTTAATCTGAAAACCATACATCTTTCCTTAACAGTCTTTGTCTCTTCAAAACCATCAAACAGGTCTAATTGAATTGGTAGGCTGTCAGCTCTTTTAATAACCAATATCTATACAATCATATTAGTGATTAAAGTGGGTTGGTATCCTGGATACCTAGAAACTCATGGTCAAGAAGAGGCTATTCCCTTTTGTTGGCTTCTCACAGCCCGTGCTATTTTAGACTGGGATGTAGAAAAGGCACTGGCCCACTCAGCCTCCTGGCTTCTCTGACTGCACGTGTTCCATACAAATAAATGAAAATGGGGCCACTGTTCTCCTGGGTCAGGACATGGTCAGCATCATTAAGAATACCACCCGGCAGGCCTGCAACATCTAGTGAGTTCCTATTGCAGCCCTGCGTTCTCTGCTAGATCAGGTGGCAGTTGGCAGAAAAACTAGTATTTTGAAAGTTCATTTGCTACTTAAAAATCACAGAACTCCATTAGGTACAGAAGAATAGTCTGCTGCTTTAGACAGTATTTCATACACGTTTTGAGATTGCTGGTCTTCTAGGCGGGAAAATCTCTGATTTCAGGACTGGAGCGTATAGGAAGTTGTTGCCAAATCCAACTTGGGTCTGTGGTTTCCAAATTTTGAGATGTGAAAAGGACTCTGTTTAGTGATGGCAGGTCTCGTGTGTCTTATTCCCCTTAGTGACTAACATCTAGCAGACTTAAATAAGCAGTTCTTGAGTAAATGAACAAATAAATTAGCAGTGAATTTCTTAATGTCAGTGGAAAATTCATTTTGAAGAGTTTTTCTTGGCCTATTGTGGGTAAAAGCCTAACAAAAGATGCAGTTGACAACAATTCTTTTAAGATGCAGCCAAATTTTGCTTGAGCAAAACCAGCATATGAAAAAAATCTGGGTTCACAAAACAAATATATTGTAAATTAAAAGGTGATTATATGCTTCACAATTACATGGAAATATGTACTAATTCAGAAGGTTCCTAAATGCTGGCTCATTACCTTTTCTCAGGTTCATGATGAAATAACAAAATCAGCTCACTGTATTATTTTTCATAAGAGTAAATTAATTAAAAAAAACTATCCTTGGGGCACCTGGGTGGCTCAGTCCGTTAGGCGTCTGCCTTCAGCTTGGTAGTGATCCCGGGATCCCAGGACTGAGCCCCGCATGGGGCTCCTTGCTCAGCGGGAAGCCTTCTTCTACCCTGCCTGCCATTCACCCTGCTTGTGCTTGGTCTGTGTCTCTCTTGCTTGCTCTGTGTCAAATAAATAAATAAAATCTTTATTTTTTTTTTAAAGTCTTTTATTCAAAAATTATTTTCTCTTGTTTCCATGGTTAAAATACTTTTTTAAAAAAACAAGATAACGAGGCTAGTCTATGCTAATTATTCTTTTCTAATGCTCTGATTTGCCAAAATAAAGTTGCCAAGCGTGTATTAGTTCCTCAGCTTTTCGAAAAATGTTTTATCGTTCTGAGAAAACCAAATGTTGGAGACTGACTTAGCTTTAAAATAAGATTCATTTATAAAGGATACAAGTGATTAAAAAATACATATTGAATGAAGGAGAATAGATAGTATACCCTTGACCTTATCACAGTATACTCATGATAATAATAGCCAATGGGTGTAGGGTGGCTACTCCGTGCAGAGCGCTGCTCTTAGGGCTTTTAAAAATGTGTTAACCATCTAAATTTCACAGTAGCCCAAGAAAGAAGTATTATTTTTCCCCCATTTTACAGATGAGGCCTCTTGCCCAAAAAGACACAAAATATAGCTAATAAACTGATAGAGCTGGCTCTAGAAATGGTCTTTTATTACAAGGAAACTGGGCCATATGATAATGCAACCAATAGGAAAACATTCAGTTGTTATTATACTCTAATGATTATGGAAATGAAGATCCAATCAGCATACAGATTATAAACTCCTACCCAACACTCCTACTATCTTATATTTAAATCAGAGCCCTTCCCAATCCTACCTTATCAACCCAATTCTTGGTGACCTATTTTTAGCTTCAGTATTTACAGAGGTACTGCTTCAAGCAATATCCTTATTTCTTAAACTCAAATTTTAGTTAGTAAATACCAGAAAACAAAGCAAGAAAATAAGGAGTAGTCAACCAAATAGGGGACAAAAGCACAACATTCCTAAATTCGGTCATCATGATTAAGTTAACTTGGGCCAAATTCAACCTTATCACACACACAAAAAAAGAACATTTGTTTACTTAAAGAGTATAAAACTCCAGCTTCCAAATGCAATGAAAAAGTATTAACACCCTAGCTTTTATAAAGGTATTAAAAAGTATTACAATAAATAAAGTATTAAAACCTCAACTTCCATATGCAGCTATCCATCCCAACAATAGGTTCTTATTTAAAAGATTACAGACTTCAGTGAGAACTCACATATTTTTTTGCAGTGTCAGAAGTCCAAATATAATATCAACTCAGCGAAGAGGTATATTGAGAAGCAAAATTCATAATAGCTAAAAAGATAAAAGGCAAAACTGATGAATCCAACTAGACCTTTTGGCTACAATGACAAAAATGAAACAAAATCCTCCAAAATTACATCAAACTGGAATCAAAGACAATAATTTTGGCTTTCAAAACCGACAACACTCTTGGTAATGGTAAACATGATTTGGCAGGTTAAAGACAGGTTTCTATCACCCTATCCTCTATTTTTCATCACTTAACAAAATATTGCACTACATGAAGGGAGCTGTCATTTTACTTCAATGATAACGAAAAAGATATTTTAACGCTATAAAGTCCTGGGTTCCCCTAGGAAAGATCAATGAATCAAGAGGTCTTAGGGCTTTTGCAGTTTAAGGAAATTTTGTGGATTAACATCTCCACCCCTCAGTCCTGAGAGGATTGTGCACATCCGATCCGACGATCTCGTATACATACAGTACGCTAATTTCTAATAAGGCAGGTAACTCCTGCACAAACTCTTCTTTCCACTTTCCGGCTTCTGCTCAAGTAACCCTCCCTAGTTCACCTGCCCTAGAAAAGCACAGAACCAGTTCTAGGACTTAGTTATCCACCTAGCTCCCCTAAGCTCCTCCCCGAGACTGCCCTCCTCCTGGCCCAGCCCAGAGCCCGGCCCCGGCCACGGCCCCGGCCCTGGGCCCTGCCCCCACGCCAATCTCGGCCAGACCCTACCCCACCCAGCCCAGGAAGACCCAGCCCACTACTGTCCTGCTCCGGCTCTCTGAACTTCCCCCGCCCACCCCGTCCACGTGATCAGGGCCCCCCCCACCCCCCCCTCCGCGCTCCACCAATCAGCAACCACCTCCGCCCATAGCTTCGTCTCCTACGCTCCTCTTTCAAAAAGGCAGCTTTCTCCTCCCGCCTTCAGCCCCGCCCCTTTCCCACCTCCCCGCCCTGCTGGTCCCTCCCACTCCCTATCTCCTCATTTCCCTCCTCTCCTCCAGTTGACCCCTCCCGCTCCTAAGCTTCGCTCCGCCCCACCCGGAGCAGCGCGCTCGCCCTCCTCTCGCGAGATCTGAGCGTCCCCCGCCGCGGCCGCTTGTCTCCCCCTCCCGTCCTCCCACCCCCCTCCCCCCAATCTCTCCACTCTCCGGCTCTCCTCCCTTCCTCCTCCCCCCTCCACCCTCTGGGCCGGATCTCGTCTCGCTGAGGCGGAGGAGGAGAAGGAGGAGGAGGACGTTCGGCCTGCGCAGTGAGATGTTTGTCCGTCGCCGCCGCCGCCGCCATCGCGGAGGAGCGCGATAAAGGGAGCCGAGCCGGGCGTGAGGAGGCCCCCGCGGAGCCGCCGCGCCAGCGCAGCCCCCCAGTCGAGCCCGAGCCGCCGGAGCCTGAGCCGCTGCCGCCCCCGCCGCGGCCGCCCAGCGGCCGGCCAGCTCCCCAGCCCAGCCCGGGGGCCGCGCCGTCGCCGCCCCCAGCGTAGCCCCTCGCCTGCCCGCCCGCCTTAAATGTGACACCGGCGCCTCGGAGTGCGACCCGAAGCCGCCGCCGGGGAGGGGACGAGCACCATGTCGAATCTGAGCAAAGGCACGGGCAGCCGGAAGGACACCAAGATGCGGATCCGGGCCTTTCCGGTGAGTCTCTCCTCGGCGCCTGGGACCCCAGGGCCGGGGGCCCGGCGGAGAGCCGCACGCGAGGCCCGGGCTGAACTCCCCCAACAGGCCGCAGGCCCGGCCTCCCCTCCCCCACGCCGCCGGCCGCGGGGCGCGAGCCTTCCCGGCAACCGGGCGGCGCGGGGCCCCGGCGCGGCCGCCCTCCCGCGCCGGAGCCCGGCGCCGCGCACCCACCCAGGAGCTGCTGCTCCGGCCAACCAGCGGGCGTCGGCTGCGACCAGGGCCCCTTGGCCGGTCCCAGCACCTTCGCACATTCCTGGGGTATAGGCCCAACCCCTAGTATTCCTCTCCCTGCTCACTTCCCGGGACCACCAGACTGCAGGGACGAGGATTGTGGAAGTCCTCCGTGTACGGGGCGTGTGTGTAACTTTTCACGTGTGGTCTCGCTGCAGTTTGAAAAATAACCTAGCCCCAAAGGTGGCCAGTCAGACCTTTAGGATGATGAAGGGGACTGTCCTCTCCCTCTCTCTTCCCCTCCTCAGGAAGGGTTTTGCCACCAGTCTACCCCCGACGCAGTGACAGTGGTTCCCTGTAATGCTCAATAGTAACGTACTAACATCAGCTGCAATTATAGCCTCTTTCATCCACAGGCTTCCAAAGCACTTTACAAACTCTCTTGTGCAGGAATTGCCCCGCCACTCGAAGGAGGGTCAAGGGGAAGCAAGAGAAAACACATTGGACAATTGTTTCTCCATTTTTTAGCCATGGAAGCCCAAAAGAACGAGTCGTCACTACCCCGAGTTGCTCTACTCTATAGGTTTTAGTGACAGCAAACGTGTTGTTTAGAAACTTTATTTTTTAGCATTACGTTGAGTCATATGGTTGAAGTATTAAGCATGTAGGGTATAACTTTGGATGTCATACCTGATTCAGATAGCCAATGGCAAGCAATTAAAACAAACTATTGTAACAGAAACTGGACATACTTGCTCACATCGCTACAGTAACAGGTATACGTCAAGATAGACAAACTAGCAATTGAACTGAAGATTTTAGAACAGTAAAACTAGGGAAAGATCTTGAATGCTTTAGGATTATAAACATAACCTTGTGAAGGGGGAGAATGGGGTTTGAATTCACTTTCTTAAGCTTGCTTTTTCAGAAGTGTAATTTGCACTGAGGCAAGACTTACTAATACCAAAGGGAACTAATGAAGTCGATTAGCATGTTTTCCCTTGTAAAGAAGTGAGCTGGGTTTATGAATTTTTGGGTAATGTTAGTTTTGCTGCTAAGTCAGTTGTGAACATTTTGACCAGAATTTAGAATTGTTATGAATTTTAAATAGTTTCATACAAGTTTTCTAGGGAAAATTTGCCATTTTTGAAGTCTGTGTTCTTCTAATTCAGATTTATTACGAAAATGTGGAATAGCTCACATATAATATTAACTCAGTTTTGTTAACATTGTGATTAACCAGTTGTACCTTTAAATGTGATCAGCTTTGTCGTCTCTTTAGGTTTTACCTGTTCCCCTGGTCTTCATTCCCTCATTCGTTCAATAAATACAGAGTACTGTGTGCCAGGCACCGTTCTAGGAGCTTGAAGATCAAGATCCCTTCTTTCTGGATGTTGTATATTATTGGAAGAGACAGGAGAGAATTGCATTATTCCTTTAGTGAAAGAGTATAATATATGATAGATTAGCACGCAGTGTTGAAACTGATTTTTTTTTAAAGTAGTGTTTATGGTTGTGAGCTAATTTGGACCTTTTCTGTTCATAACTTGTTGCCATCTAAAATTTTCTAAAATCTTTTAATGAAGTTTATAAATGATTTGTGTTTGATACTCAGTTTAATGTCTGCTAATTTTTAAAAGCATAGTTTTTCATTTTGTGAGTGTTAATCTTCATAAGTAGTTTCCACTGAAAAGAACCTTTACACTTTTTAATATAAAAATTTTTAAGTCCCTGTTCCTTGAGCCCTCATTAAGAATAGATAGATGCCTCAGTGGTATGATATTTCATGACTTACCCTTTGGTGAATGTTTGAGTACCTTATAGACATTTCAAAATTTCTTTTTTCTTCCAGGTTAGCAGTCTTCTAGTAGTAAATGTGTAGTATTCTGTAAAGAAAAAATAGTATTTATATGTGTACATATGTACATTATTTACAGCTATAGTATTTGCATTAATCTTTGGACATATTGTAGGTACTGTAGTTTAAGAAAATTGTAGTTTAACCAAAGGTCTCAGGCGCTCATTTCAGATTCTGTTTTATAAAATTGAGGTGTAAAAAGTGTAAAAATATGTTTTGAGGTTGTTTTCATTGCAAAATAGAGTGGTAAGTGAACTTAGAAGTTATTTTATAGATGTGTAAGCCTATTCCAGATACAGTCCCATCAGTAAAATCAGGCTCTTTTTAGTGTCTTGAATGCATATTCTAAGTGTGCCTTCATCATTGTTCACAAGAGTAAAAGGTCATAACACAGTTTTATGCACAATTTTAAGTAGAATTTTTCATAAGGTTTTAAGAGAAATTACTTATTTTTAAGATGGAGAACAATAGGGACTCTCTGGATTTAAAAATTGTTGATGGAGTTAGAGTTTATTTCAGTTTGTAAGATTTCCTGCACCGCACAAAATGCATGTCATTTCACATCTTTTTTTTTTTTTTTTTCCTTTTTTCCTGGTACCCAAAATTAACAGCAAGGGCCACAAAACTTTGTTAAGGAAGGAGGCTGTAGTTGTGAAACTCCTGGAAGCTATATGGATTTGGATCAGAGTGCTGCCCCAAGAAGTTCCTGCTCTTCTTGCCTTGCTGTTGCTGAATATCTCACTCCAGAATTTTTGTTCCACTATGTAGGATTAGTTGCTGTCAGGTGAACCTTTTGTCCTTATCTTTGAAAAGCCATTCCTCATCACTTGTACTTTCCACATGGGTTTTGTCCACGTGGGCTTGAAAAATTTGATTGGATTGGAAAGGCTATGTTTGAAAATATTCTTCTCTCTTCTAATAGTCCTTTCTTATCTTAGTCTTCAAAGTTACAAGTCATATTGTGAAAGGGATTGTCTTTAGAGTGTGATCTGAAAGTTGTTTCAGCTATTAAAAAAGCATGCTAAATCACGGTGAAGAATCTTTGGTTTTGATGTCCACTTCATAATCCTAGATGAGCTTCACAGAGCTCCACCTGTGTAGCATAGACAGTGATGTGGAGTTTATTGTTAGGTGGAAACCACAGAGTGAATGACATTATAAAGAGAGGAGTTTCAAGATCATATGCGATGTACTTAAGAACGCAAGAGTTTAATGACAATTGGGAACAGTTAATGTTTTTGTTTTTCCTAGCTGTTGTAAAATTTGCTAGATTTGGGGGAACAGCTTTGATCTTTGTAATAGATTTCTCTTCCTTAGAGAAAGTAATTGTTGTCTAGGACTACCTGAACTATGTACAGGAAAGCTGAATAATAGTCTTGCAGATCACACAGGGTGGGGAATTAAGTATTTTTCATTCTCTAACAGAGAAATTACGGAGTAAGGTATAACAGATTCATTAAAGTGTTGCCTATACTTAGATTGATTCTTTCTGTTTGACAGTTTCAGGACGGCCAGCTATGTTGTAACTGTTAGTACCTCTCTGGCTTTAGAAGTTAAAAAACAAAACTTAAAGTAGTTATTTATAAGATATTTATATTCTGCATTATCTTCCTAGGTAGCAGTTCAGAGGAGCCTGGAAAATTAAAGTACCAGTATTGAATTTGAAATTATTTTAGAGTATAGAATATAATGTAGAATTTGGCCTTTTAAATAAGGTCAGTTCATTGAGACAAGGTAGAGAAAGCTTCATTTGTTTGTACATCATTCATTAAATATAGCTAATAACAGCATTTCTCTAGTTCGTAAAGGTTATATAATTAAGACTAAAAAAAGTATGTCCTCCCTTTGTTTTCTAAATTGCTCCCAACTATCAGATAATTTTTTATCTTATTTTCATTGAAGATCATCTGATGTTTGTTAGCAGTTTTCTTAAATTTTTATAAAAGTTATTGGACAATTTGTAGTTTCAAATAATGCAAGTTTGAAAATAGATCTCATTTATTCATTGTAAATGCAGCAAAAAAGTAAAGATGTTACTAGTAAGCACAAATCACTGAGGTATAATAGGAATTGCAATTAGTGTCTATCAGTGGATTGTGAAAACTATTCAGTCACAATCTGTCAAAGCAATGAATTCATTTTAGTAGGTTTTCTAATTATAAAAATAATGCATATTTATGATAGAATACTTAAGTATCTAAATTTATAAATAAGGAAATAAAAATCACATCTAACCCTACTGGTTGGAAATAAGCAACATTTACATTTTGTTGTATTTTCTTTTAATCTTTCATACACTTCTGAGCACCCAGTAAAATTGAGGTACAATATCATTTAAAAAAAAAAAAGCTTTTTAAAAAATGCAGTATTCTCACGTTAAATATATTGAGGATATGATCTGTAAAGACTAGTATTCTATGGCACCTCAGTTTGCTTAACCATTTCCCTACTGCCAGGTATTTTGATCGATTCTGGTTAATTCATATTTCCTCTGTTATAGATAATGCAATTGTGATTATTTAGGCACATAAATATTTGAACCTATCCATGATTATGGAGTTACTAAGCCAAACAAAATTGGCACATATTGCCAGTTGACCTCCAGAAAGGTAGGAATAATAATAGTTAACACTCAGTGAATGCTTATCATGGGCCACAGACACTGTTCTCTGTGCTTTGCATGTGTAAACTCATTTCATTTGCACAGCTCTATAGAGTACTACTACTGTCCTCTGTTTTACAAAGGAGGCCTTAAGAACCTAAGAAATTTGCTTCAGGTCACTGTGCTTGTAAGTGGCAGAACTGGGATCCTAATCTTGCTCGTAAGTGAATATTCTTCAAAATTAATTATACCTGTCAGGGTTTCTACTGTGTAGTAGTGTCTTAGCCAGCATTTTATATCTTCAATTTCATAGGTGAAAAAATAATA